CACGACGTGGGAAACGTAAGAGGATTCGACACGAGAAATCGAAAAATTAGGAATTATCAAAAGTGAATTGAATATTCACGGGGTAAACGAACGATCGTTTGAACATTTTCAGCTCGGAGGCGGGGGATAATTCGAGTCGTTGCAATTAGCGAAACTGAAAGATTGATGGTTCAGCGTTTGCCAAATGGCTTCGCAGCTACAGTTTACCATGATAAATGGGCCACTCTTTCTATCGGTTACGATGTTCTTCGATTTCTCGGAAATATTCGTGACCCGTGATAGCGAGGGGAGCAATATACGCCGGATCTGAGAAAGCGAGACGATGCAAGGGAACCATCCATATTGATAAACCGTGTAAAGCGTTTGGATCGCGGACACTTATCACTTGTCTTTTTTAATTGGGCCGTTATCTCGGTTAACAGTGTCCTTTGTTCAATTTTCGATTCATCCGGCAGGTCGCGCGATACAACAACTGCTCTCGTTGTTTCGTCATTGATGGCAAACGTGAGACGTTTTTATCAAGCTAAATCATTTATTCTCTATAGATTGATCGATTCGTCGAATGACAACGCTCTCGCGGCGAGATGTCATGCCGCATTTTCGTAATTTTTCGATTCGTTACGTAACGCGCGACTCCGACTGCCGCGGAACACTTTCTAATCGGGCAGAGACATTTGCGCGCTGAAGTTTCACTACGATTTACAATTTACAATTATCGTTCATTATCATCGTGAAATCTTTAGCCTTTTTTTTAGCCTTTTTCCTTCGATCGTTGAACAAACAAGTACCATTACGTGTTTTACGATCAGCCACGTGCTCTCCAGGCTATCTGCCTCGATGTGTGATCCTCGTTTTGCAAAACGTTAATCCGATTAAGCGGACGGGTTTCGATAATTTCCAAGGAGTCGAAGGAATCGATGAAATCACGATACACGGACTGCTTGCGGAACGATCGTGGAACACACAGCGCGCCGCATCTCTTTCCATTTTTCTTCTTCGTTTCAACGCGGCAATCAACATACCGATTTTCTATCTAGTCGTGTTCGCGAAGAAGAGACGAGAGTAAAAGAAAGAAAGAAAGAAAGAAAGGAAAAGAAAGAGCGAAGAAAAAAGGAGAAGGCGTCGCGATCTCATCAGCGAGGCAACAAAGTCCCCTTTGTCTTCCGCTGTTCGCGCGTTATTCACCCGCGTCTCGATCGAGTAAACACGCTAATCGACTTCAAGGATGAGGTAAAAGGAACGGACGCGGCCTGGACGATGACGAAATGTAGATCGAGGGGCAAGGGAATCCAAGATCCTGACACAAGAAAGGGAATAATTATATCGACCGTTTCTAAAGCGAACGGCGAAGAAGAGCGAATAGAATGGACGAAGAGAAAACGAATTCATTCGGGGTGAAAGGTGCTTCACGTTTCTTTCTCTTCTTCTTTCTTACGGTGAGAAATTTCGCAGACGCGAGTGCGAAATATTCAGTTGTAGCAGGCGATCGTTTCACGACTTTTTAATACTCGTGTTTTGATGTTGAACAAAGATATTTCAGTTTGTTTTAATTAACCCGATTGTCAATTTGTAAAAAAAATATATAATATGTATGTATATTATGTAAATATATATGTATGTATAATATGTATGTATATTTGATGTTAAACAAAGATATTTCAGTTTGTTTTAATAATAATTAATCCGATTGTCAATTTGTAAAAAAATATATAATATGTATGTATACAATAACATGTATAATTAGATAACTATTAATAAACACGAAACAGACGTTAATAATAATATGACATTATATGTGTAATATATAATTAAAACAATAATTATTAAATTAATAAAAATTAAATTAATAATTAAAACAATAATTAGTGAACTACAAGTGTTGACGAATCGAAAGAGAATGTCTTTATTACTTCACAATTCTACCTCGGGCTGGAGAATTTTACTGATAATTTGCAACTCGTGAAATTTCTCTAACGTAATTACGTTACGTGATTAGATCGGAGGAACCGGGAAAAATTCCTCCCTTGACGCGAGAACAATCTCTATTAGATTCGAAATTATGAAAAAAAGTTTTCCAGGATCTCCAAATGTCTTAACAGACGATAGTTCCACGCTTCCATTGAATCGTAGGAGTAATGAACACTTTTATGCTCGTTTCTATAGCCGAACGAGCGGAATTGAAAAGATCGTGGAGAGCCAGAATTCGCTTAACCATTGTATTCGCGTAATTACTACGTCATAAGCGAATGTTCGTCATTATTTTCCCACCGGGATGACGTGCCGTCTTTTCCTTGATCCTCCGTGTCCGGCAACTTCGTCGAGCCGCGGTCATTACTTTGTTTTTCACTTTTTCGCTCGTTCGTGGTTATGAACGGAGCGAAAGTACTTGCTAAAATATCTACTTAACTTGATCGCTCGTCTTCGAGTATCGGCCTATTCTCTCTGCGTGATCATCGTCGGGATCTATTCATCGAATAATACGATTATCACGAATCTCTTCGTCCTCGAGAATCACATTTCGAAGTCTCGATATGAACTAAAGAAAAGAAAAGCGCGAGTCGTTTTCAACAATCTCAACGAGAGATCTCGGGAATACTTTGTCGAAATCTCCTCAGTTTCTTATGCGTGATACTTTCGAATTCCATTGAATCTGAAAATGAACTTTCCACTCACGG